CTTGTGTGTGCATCCGAAACACTTTGGAGCAAATTTTGGCATGGTTAAAAGAGTATTGAATAATTTGTCCATGTTGTCCTTACATATAGCTAGGAGGGTTACAAATGGACAGAGTCAATATCGTTGGTATCGTTAAATTTTTATTTTGCGTTCGAATTTGAACTGTTAAAATTTTAAATAAGACAAGCCTAAATATATCAGCTTGGATCTTAGCTGTTTTGTTTAACAATTTATTTAAATAATGGAATAAATATATTATTAAAGAAATAGGATAAATATATGTTATTTTAATATATTTAAATAATGTATGATAATAGCTAACTATGACAATATATTTATATTAATAATTGGGGATAGATAATTATTATTTTGCAAGAGTATGATTTGTATATATGTAATAATCAAAATTCAAATTGTAACTTTAGTCTCATACGCAAATATGAATTTATAAATTTATAATTTATTTTAGCTCGTTAGGATGCGTGAATTTGAACTCCAAGCTCGAGTCAAGTCTGAATCAACATTAGATTGATTCCGGTTCGTTAAATTTTCATTGAACTCGAGTTCAAATTCATTAAAATCTTATATATGAATATACAAAAGTTCGTTCGGCTCATTTGCACTCCCTACAGGTAGCCCCATCTTTGTGAAGGGTTTGGTTTTGATATCATTTGTAAACAACCCTTAAGTCCTCTCCCATCAAAAGACTACTAGCCCAATTATGGAAGGGCGTGTTTAGAAGGTCATAAACTCATTTACAACTATGTTTATAGTTAAGAAAAGATTTGAATGAGAGATTTGAAAAGAAAAAACAGAAAAAGTTGTGAAATGTAAAATAAAATACACATTTTACCATGTTTACATAGTTTCATGCACATTCTTTTTCCTTTCTCTTTTCCAAATTCCTTTCCCATTTTTCAACCACAACACAACGTAGATTTTGAGTTTGAAAGGTGATATTTTGCTTGGCATTATTGTTGTTTGGGGTGTCCTAAAATAAGTGCACGTTTTTTGTCTTTTTGAACTGAAAAAGTTGAGAAAAAAAAATGAAATGTTTGAAGTTAACTTTTTGTGTCTTTTTACGAAAAAATGGGTAATAAAACAATTGTAATAGCGATCCTGGGTTTTCCTCTTTTTATACAGTATTCCGGACCTTAGGTTCCGCGGTTGAGTATTGTTTGCATTTGTTTTCCATTTTGTCCCTTTAAATTCCTTATATTTGAGTCTTGGGTTGTATTCGGGTAGATTTGAAACATGTTGGTTATGTTTGGAAACCAAGAGTTGATGCCCAAGATTTTGGCATTCACGCTCGTAGCGGGGTTTTTGACGCCTCGAGCAGAACCCTGTTTTTGCTTTGTTCCTCCCGCTCGAGGGGGCATTTTGACACTCGAGCAATGATTATTCAACCCTCAGTATTTTTTCCTGCAAGTCGTCGGACGCTCGAGCGTCCACTTTCACGCTCGAGCGGAGACCTTCGTCTGCAAAACTTCTGGATGTGTGCATCCGGCGCTTGAGCGGCACTTTTGACGCTCGAGCGTGAGTCTGTGTTTTGCCGCTTGAGCGGGGCGTTATTCCCGCTCGAGCGGACTGTGTATTATATCAGTCCGAGTTTTAGCTTTTTGAACCACTTTTTCGACACTCTCTCTCTCTCTAGCTTTTCAAAACCCAAACTTGAGAGCTTCTCACTCTAGACTTCATCTTCTCTCTAAGAAATCATCTAGTGTTAGTGATCTTCTACCCTAGTCCCTTTGTAAAAAGTGTGGAGCTTGGTGTGAGTTATACTTTGATCCGAAAATCTTTGGGTTTGGAGTACCTTCGAATTTCTTCATCTTCTCCATTGAGCTCCGAAATTTGAGGTAGGGATAACCTACTCCATTCTATGAGTTTTAACATAAATTTTAGTCATTTTGATTAGATGGTGTTGTTCGGTAATTTTGGAAAAAGTTAGGGTTTGGTGTGTAATTTATAGAAAAGGGGTTTTCAAATGTTAAACTCCATGTTTGTTTGACACCTTGGAAAATGAGATTATTGTTGTTAAATTGATGAAATTGAACCTTAGGGTTGATAATGGAAAAAGGGAAAAATGCCCTAATTATGTTGAATAATTAATTTGGGGAAATGTGAAATTGGGTTGGAAATCATGAAATTGGATGGAATTGTAATTGAATGGTGTGGTTGGATTAATTTATCACCCACTTATGAAATTGTTGATTATTTATCTGTTCGATAAATTTATTATCTGTTTAGAGATAACTACTTTGGGCTATCGGTGGAGGATAGTCTTGATTGTTGTAGACATTGTATGATGATTAGGGAAAACTGAAACTAATCACATTGAATATGTCATTGAATATGACGGTTGAAATAATACAGCAAATGTGTGTATTGATTGATCATTGTATATGATAAGTGTTTAAATACATTGTATATGTATATTGTTTGGGAGAAGATAGGGGATACACTCCATGGTTTGGAAGGAGATAGAGGATGGACTCTCAAACCTGTTTGGGAGGAGATAAGGGATGGACTCTCGAACCTGTTTGGGAGGAGATAGGGGATGGACTCTCGAACCTGTTTGGGAGGAGATAGGGGATGGACTCCACTGATACAGCAAATCTGTGTATCACTTGAAATATGGAAGTGTTGAAGTATGGAAGTGTTTTAATATGAGTTATATTCTCATGTGAATTGTGAAATATGGAAGTGTTTTAATATGTGTTATAGTCTCATTGAATTGTTTGGCCAGGTTCTGAGCCATAATTATGAATCGAAACTGTATAAGTGAAGGAAACTGAAATGAAAAATGGATGTACTTGATGTTGAATTGAAAAGTGTTGTAAGTTGGTTTATAAGTGTCAACCATATATCAATTGCTATTGTTTTAGTTATTTCTCATACTTGGTTTAGTATATCTCTACTGGGCATTGGCTCACCCTATATGGGACATCATTTTCAGGTTCAAGTGATATGCCACCTCCAAGAACATAGCTTGGGAGGCTTCGAGGCTGAAGATCCCTTTTTGTTATTTACCTTTTTGTGTATTACATGTGAATTCAAGACGAGGGCTTAATGTGTATGAGTTAGTACTATCTTTTTTGTAACCAAGTGTTGGCTTGGAAAGTTGTAAGCCCATAGGGCATTTACTTTTGTTGTCAACTTGTAATACTTTTGTGGTAAATACTCTGATAAATAAATGTACACTTATTCTCTTGAATATATTGTCAATTTCT